TTTTTTTTTTTTTTTTTTTGCCCGGACTTAATATATGGTGATTTAGTTATTATAGATGTAATGGCCTTTAAACCTGTGGAGGTGTGGGAAGTGACTAGCATTATGCTTCTTGTTACTTGCTTTATATCCATCGTCATGCCTTTTATTTAATTCAGCAGTCAATTCATTTATCAATTAACAAAGTAAAAGTTGAAATCATGTTTAAAATATTGTTGGATTCCCATTGAGAATCTTGTTATATGTGAAAGTTACATGGAACCAGAATAGAAGCTTTAGAGGACATTTTGAAATATCATATTTTATACCAAAAAAATAAGGAGAATTCCCGTTTTTCCTGTGCCCTAGGTGTGGTTTTAGTTTGCACTGTGGGGAGCCCAGCACTGGTGTATTATTTATAACTGAATATGGGGAGCTGTTTAGTACTCACCAAGATATAAAGTCAGTGATCTAGAGCTAGCCAGTATTTCTTAAACTTTAAAACACAAGAATATGAGAAGTACATGGGAAGGGTTATAGTCATTTTAAAGATAAAGGAGGTACAATTTTTCTGAGAACAGAGAACTATCTCACCCACATTTAAGATTCAAATTCCAAGACAACCCCAAAACACTAGTCCTCCATTTAGATTTTTACATCAATTACTTTAGGTTCTTATAGTTAATGTCCATTATTCATTTTCCCCTTTTAATTCACCTCGGGGTGGGCAGTTAAGACAAAAAGTTTATAATTTGGCAGTTTACAGTTTACACGTAGCCCTTTCAACATGTTTTATTCTAAGATAGTTCCTTACTCAAAGGGAGAACAGCCCTGAATTTTTCCTTATAAATATGGCAGTGAAATAGGGCAATATACCGCCTGGGCTTGTTTCAGCATACCACCTTCCCTTCATGGGAAATCTTTTATTTACCTAAGGCTTAAAGGAAGGTAAAGCTATTTTTAGAGGCAATTTAGATAAGCAGATACTTAACACCTGGTGGGCTGCTGGGGGTTACCATTCAGATGTAAATTTTGGTTGTTAATTTCTTATGTAAATTATTGGAATAGTGTAGGTTCCTACCCTGCTGGGAGGCAGTTGATTGTCTAAAGGGGTAAAGGGCAACCAAATTTTAGGCCTCCCAATACTGCTTTGATTACTTTAGTTTGTGTTTACAGCTGTTTCAGTAAACTTTCCCCTCCCCCTTTTAGCTTACTCTGTAACCTTCAAGTTTGAGATAATTGGAGAATGCAAATCTGTTTCTGTGAAGTGAAAACCTTGGCTATTTTCTTAGGGAAATGCAGATGAAGTTTATAAAGAAGGACCTTCTACCATCATATCTTTTTTTTTTTTTAATTAAAATCATTTGCTCTGCAAGAGCCTTGGTTTTAGGGCAACATTTCGGTATTACTCTCAGAAAATGAAATTATTTCGGGAGGCAAGTTTGTCAAGTAAATTATTAGCATGCGCATGTCAATAACTAACTTCTCTTTCCTTGTGTACAGTAAACAGGCTTAGATCCTTCCGTGGAGTACTGTTAACCTGATCTTCCAGTATCCTCTAACAGAAAGTTCACATCAGTCTTTCAGAATTATTTCAGATGTAATTCAGAATTACCCTCCAGGAGTAATAAGATTTCTTTTCATTTAGTTTGAGGTTTTAATTCAGTTTTAATATTTGATCTTTATTAGATTAATAATTTGATATATTTCTGATAGTGGAAAAAAGAACTACCTGCCACATCGGATATTTGGTTACTATAGATCTTGAAATACAATCACATTTCATAGATTCTTTAGCTATCCACTCTTTCTTACACACACAGCTTATTTTCTATCTTAAATTAAATATTGCTGTTTGTATAATTTTTCTTTCTTGGGGCTCCTTGATGATATATTTTATGTGTAATTAGGTGATCTGAATCCCAACAATGAGGATTTGGAGGAATCAGTCAGAAAAGAGATATTTACAACAAAAGGCCAGACCCTTGGCAGGTGAACTTATTTTCAGAATAACTACAAATTGAATCTAGGAACTTTTCCTTGACTTTGCAACCATTGTTGGCCTTGAATTGATTTCTTCCTAACCACGTTGGACTCAGTCCTGCCTTCCTTTTCTCTCATATTCTCTCTTCTCAATTAAATTGCCTGTGTGGTTTATGTTGGCAAGTAACTAGAGGGTAACAAGATAAAATATGACTATTTTATTTTATAAAATAGACTTTTTTTTTAAGAACAGCTTTAAATTTTTGGAAAAATTGAGAAAACAGTATGGTTTCCAAATGTCCTTGCACAGTTTTCCCTATTACTAACATCTTAGTATAGTGCATTTGTCGCAATTAATGGGTCAATATTGATACATTTTTATTAATTTTAGCAATTAAAATCCATAGTTTGAGTTCCTTAGTTTTTACTTAATGTCTTTTTTCTGTTCCAGGATCCCATCCAGGATATGACATTAGATTTAATTGTTATATCTCCTTAGGCTCTTAGCTGTAACAGTTTCTCAGACTCTCCTTGTTTTTGATGACCCTGACAGTTTTAGGAGTATTGGTCAGGTATATTATAGGAAACCCCCTAGTGGAATTTGTCTGATGTTTTTCTCCTGATTAGCCTGGGGTTATGGGATTTGGGGAGGAAGATCACAGAGGTTAAGTGCCATTTTCATCATATTATATCAGGGGTACATACTATCAACATGATTTATGACCGTTGATGTTGACCTTGGTCACCTAGCTGAGGCAGTGTTATCGCCTCTCCTCCCCCTCCCCATCCTGTGGAAGGAATGCCAGCTCACACCTAAGGAGTGGGGAGTCAGCTCCACATCCTTGAGGGCAGAGCATCTACATACATTATTCAATGTTTTATTTATTTATTTATTTTTTAAAGAGAGGAGTCTCACTCTGTCTCCCAAGCTGGAGTGCAGTAGTGAGATCATGGCTCACTGCAGCCTCCCACTCCTAGGCTCAAGGGATCCTTCCCCGTCTGCCTCCCAAAGTGCTGGGATTACAGGCGTGAGCTACCAGCCCTGCCTACATAAATTATTTGTAATTCTACTGCATGAGAATTTTTCTCTTTTCCCACATGCATTGATTTATTCAGTCATTTATTTATATCATTATGGACATAAAATAAATATGGATATTTATAATCCAATACTAATTTATTTATTTTCTTGCTCAAATTGTTCCAGTTTCAGACATTGGGAGTTCTCTCAGTGGGTTCTTTTGCCAGTTTTACAA